AGGCAGCAGCTTTGCTGGGTTGCTGCAGTGAGACTTGGAAGCATTTGCTGATGGATAGCGTTGAAATAATATTTTCAATATATTGCATGAGAAATGACACAGTTGTTCTATCTGTGTCACCTCTGCATTGTTTGTAAAGAAAATCTAAAAGTAGAGATATAAATTATGAACACATCATTTGGTGATAGGACTCGGGAACAACCTCAAGTTGCACCAGGAGAGGGTTCAGGTTGAACGTTAGGGAAAAAATTCTACTCTGAAAGAGAGGTCAGGCACTGGAATGGGCTGCCGAGGGAGCTGATGGAGTCACTGTCCCTGGAGGTGTTAAAGAAATGTGTAGATATTGTACTGAGGGGACATGATTTAGTGGGGAAATATTGGTGGCAGATGGATGGTTGGGTTAGACGATCTTGGAGGTCTTTTGCAGCTTTGGTGATTCTATGATTGTTTTTAAATAAATGGAATATTAGAAGTATGTTGTTTGCTGAAGAGCTTACTTGTAAATGTTGAATGTAGATTTGTGGACTATGTCTTCTGAAAAAAGCTTCCTGAAATGTAACAAACTTCTTAGATAAAAACTTCTTGGACAAAGGTCCGCTTTATAGTTTTCAGCAGCTGTCGGGTAATTAGGATGAGGTAGCTGAAGCATAGTGGCCTCTAAATGTGAATACTGTTACTGTCTGGATTGTTCCTTCCTTCCTGGCGACTGGGTGAAGCTTGAACAGCAGTAGCATTGGGTGCTTCAAAGCAGCTGCTTGGAGGCTCGTCTGCAAAGGTCACTTGTCAGCACTATGCGAAAACTTCACTGCATGTACATCTAAATATTTAATTACTGCAGAACACAATCTTTTAATTTCCTTCTATCAAGCTTTCCTCCTCCTGTACACAAACTCCAGTTTCTCTACTAGTCCTTATAGCTCAGCTCAACAGAGAAATACATTCAGCAAGAACTCCATCTTTTCTTCTGGTATCTAAAACTGGGCCAATACTTGTATACATCTTTGGATTCTCAGGTTAGCCATACACTAAGTATAGCTTTAGGATGGGATATGTTTCTCTACCCAAATATATATATATATGTGTATATATAAGATATATATATTGATTTAAAATTACTTGAATGAATCAGCTGCCCAGAATCAGGCTTGCCACTGTGATGTTTCTCTACCCAAATATATATATATATATGTGTATATATAAGATATATATATTGATTTAAAATTACTTGAATGAATCAGCTGCCCAGAATCAGGCTTGCCACTGTGAAGGTGGTCACTCTGGAAGTTTCTAAGGATTTTTTAGTACGTACTCAGCATATGAAGCTGCCTACTTTTCCAACTCAGCATGTTGACAAAATAACTTTTAAAAACTGTTTCAAACTATAGTTATTCATGGTCTTCTTTTCCATAATTCAGTGCCTCAGTGTTGGTCATGAATACAGTGTAGTGTTTCCTTTCTCAGCAGGTAGCAAATGGCACAAGTATCCAACAATTCATTGCAAAAGAATAATAATGAATGAAGATGGAAGTTTTTCATTTGCTAACAATCTTCCTAAAAAATTTATCCTTCTAGAACTTGTGTTTTGACTTGTTCCCTGTTTATCAGCTGATTTTTTTTTCTTTTTTTTTTTTCTTCAGTAGGACAGTGTACAATGACCTGTGATATTGTCTTTAATAAAAGAGGTTTATCTGCAAGTATTTTAGATCTTATAGGGGTACCTGGCTTGGGTTAAATTTGTGTCTTTCCATTTTAACATCTAATTCTGCAGTATGTCTTTGTCAAAATGCAAGGTTTTAATTAGGAGCTCTTAAATTATGTTTGGAGTCTTTCGTAAATAGTAAAAATAGTAGCAAAATAGCTAAATACTTAGGAGGCATCTCACTGTTTCCTTGCGTATCTTATTCCTATGTTTTTATCTCTTCTTTGGAAACAAATGTAGTAGCTGTCTCAAAGACAACATTACCATACTGCCAGCACAGATGTTCCCAGGTCTAAGTATAACTTACACAGCATTACTATGGAAATTTCAGAGACTACTCTTTGCTAATGGTTAGCAAATGATAGCACTTTAATAGCAACCATATGTGTATATTGATTGGTCCTCCCAACCTCTTCTCATTCTGTGCATGTGTAAAGAGCAGATGTCTCGCACGTATTACCTTTTTTCTCAGAGTAGTTTTAATCTAAGCTCATTACAAACACATCCTTTGTGGCTGTAGACCTTTGGTGCTTTTCTTTGGGTAACAATTATTAAAGCATCACTCGTGCCTTGAACTTCCTCCAGCATATGACAGCTATAAAACCCGGATGCTTTTCCAGTTTCCATTTTTGATGGGCTGTTTGCTGCTCTTTGGTCCGGAGGTCAAGATGCATATGAGGAGCACTGAGGTGCTTTGGTTTGTTGGGCACAGAGCAGAGCAGGCTTAGGGGAGGCATCACGGTGGCTGCAGCTCCTCACAGGTTAGCCAAGGGGCAGTGACAGGGCCTGAGGGAATATCATGGAGCTGGCAGGGGAGGGGCAGCGGGGGGTGAGGGAAAGGCTGTGCCACAGAGTAGTGGAATGGGCTGCCCAGGGCAGAGGGCACAGCCCCAAGTGCTGGAGCTCAGGGAGCGTTGGGACACCACTCTCAGACACAGGGTTGGGTTTGGGTGCTGCTGTGTGGAGCGGTGGGTTGGACTCACTGCTCCTTCTCTTTTTTCCCTCGTAAAATACACAGCTTCAAGGTTTATTGAAGAAGTAACCTTAAAACTGTGAGCTCAATGTGAAATTAAATATTTTTGTTTCATATCTTGCCATAGAAACCATGCTATCATATACAAAATCATAGAGAAATGTGTATGTATATTTTTTACTGCACCAAACTATGAAATCCACTATTTGCACAGCTCCGGTCCGACTGTAATCCCCACTGTAAAGATTCTCCTGCTTTAGCAATGGTATTTGCTACTGCTCCGTGGGGCATTCATCTCCTTCTCAGCTGTCCCAGTGCTGCGTTTTGCAGAGCATAGCACCGTTTGTGACTGCAGCCTCTTTAAACCTTATTGTGCCCATATTTCAGGCACAAAAGCCAAAAGAATTTGCAGTTTCTCCCTAAGCAATCCCAGTGTGTTTGGATAGGCTGATTGAACGCTAATTGAAAATTTTAGGATGCAAATAGTTTTTGTTGTATTCTGAGGCAGTGATCTGAAGGTTTTGCAAAACTGTTTTTAGGAAAAAGAAGGTAGGCCTCTTTTAGAGCTTGTGGATGAATGAGCTCTTATAGCCATTGAGATATCTTTAAACAATACTTTATATGAAAATGTCTAGTTTGTGGTGAAGTATAAATGCTTTCCAGACTGCAAGACAAGTTTTATAATTATGCTTAAGGTATATTATCTTTAAATCATGGAATATTAATTGTTTATTTAAACAGAGATTTTGTCCTAATTTTAGTAGCCAGTCGTGGTGGTGTTTCAAAACAGAGCCCATTATTTCCAATCGTTCATTTAGAACAGTCCTATTCTTAAACACTGAAATTTTCTCCGTTTCAGAATCAGGATCTTATTTGTTCCCATTACCACCCACTTACAAGGGACTGATATTTAAATACTTCTCATTTCCAACTGCAACAGGTTTTGATGGAGACGTGAATATTCCACCCAGATTAGTTTAGTTTGCTGTTATGCTGCTTTATGCCTCTTATAGCAGAAAAACAAACCAGGTCTGTAGATTAAAGTAGGAGTGAAAAGTAAATTTTTAATTTGGATTTTTAATTTAGTAGTTGAAAGTTGCAGGAGGATCAGAAAGGCAAAGAAAGCCTAAGTTGGGTATTTCTATTTAACAGTGAAGGCTAAAGTGCCTATTTTTTTCTGCATCCTAGATTGGTTTATTCTATACCATTATTTGTGTTTTGTGAACAGCTGTGCTGTGCCAGGGGTTTCCATTTGGAGTCTTTTAGCTCTGTGAAGTAGCAGAGAAAGTAATGGACATTTGCAAATTAATACTTACTGTTATTTTCTGCTAATCTGATGTAGCTCTTTCAGCATAGATATAATATCAGAGCAAAAGTAATTATGGTGTTAAAACTAGTACTGCTGCAGAATATTTTGCTAATTAAACTTGTTGCATTTAAATTGCTTCTTTTGGATCACTGTATGGAACCAAACTGTTTAGAACAATAAATGAACCCACTTTCTTAGAGGCCTAGGATTGCAGATGGTCAGATTGCATGTGAAGCACCTAGGCTCTGAATTAGTCTTTTGTGTGAAAGAGAGAAAGGTAATTTGAATGTTTGAACTCCCTGTTCCTCCCACACATACACAGGAAGCTTGTCTCAAAATGAACAATTCTCTAAATAAAGACTAATAAGAAGCTAAATTAATTAGAAGGTGTGATTTGAAAAGACATTGATGAGAAGAGTCTGTCATTTTAGACAAATGGAATGGAGCTAAATAAATTAGGCCACATTAATATCTCATTGTTCTGTGAGCAGCTTTCTTTTATTGCATTCATTAGAGAGTACTTCTTGAAATGAGCCTTTGCTAGCCATTATGGATTCAGTTCTCATTTACCAACGCCTAACACACAGCTCCTGCATTAAAAATGTTTCAGTAACTCCTCGTAGTTTCTGCAAATTAATATTTATACTTCTGGTTGCTGTGCTTTTCATCTGCAACATAGTAGGCTCTGAACATTATTTTTTTTCCCACTGAACTGGCAGTAAAGAACTTTTACATCAAAAGATTTGGGAGGCAGAAGTCTGAAATAACTTTATAAAATAAACTGCACTCATAACTTATACAGTAGACTCTTCTTCCAAATAATACTCTTTCCAGCAGTTATTTATTTTGATAGAAAATACCCTGCCTCATGACTTCAGTAGTCCTTTGATAACTTTTTAGTGTCTTTTAAAAGGTTCCTTCAGTATATAATTAGGATACATTGGAAATGCGCATCTCGTGAAGTATTTCTTACTTTCAGAAAGTGAAATGCATGTTTTTCCTCTTTCTCTCTGCTGCAGACGGAATATTTGGGAGATGTCAGCGAGTGCCAGTAGGAGACATATACAAATATGACATTTCACCTCCTGCTCTTCAGCGCCTGAGGATCATCCTGGAGAAGCTTTCACACAGAGGTATCGTAAAAACCCACGACTGAGAGTTAGTTGCACTGAGGATTATAATTACTTTGTGCTTCTTCTATGGTGACATCTTCAGAAGCTGTTGAGCACAATATGTTCCAGGCCCAGTGGTGCTGACTTTATAAAAGTAAAAAAGCGTTCTGACTCACTGAATCTGTAATGAAGGTTTGATGAAGCCATTCAGGAGAGGTGCTTCCTCCTTATAGAGTGCGTATTTGTGATTGATGCTATGCATAATAAAATCTTGGCATCCGTGAATGCTGGTGTCATATAAATAAATCATCAAGAAAGAAAAATAATCTGCTGTATATGCTTTTGCACCACAGTGTATTTCAGGGTGCACATGTACAAAACACACAAGATCTAGTTATCTAGAAAGGATTCTTTACTTTCCAATGGATTTAGTTAAGTCCATTTTCTCTGATTTCATTATAAGCAGCACCTACTGTGTTCCTTTTAATTTCTGTTCATCCTTCTGAAGCTTATCTCTTGGCTCTTTTCAAAGCTGAAAAAGGATATTCTAACCTCTGAATGACATAACTTGAGCTAATAAATAAAAAACTGGATAAAGTAAGAGATAATGTAATATACCTCTGTTGAAAACAGCTGCAGAACCACAAAATCTTTATAAACCTGTTCCTAAAGGATTCTTAAAATGGTTAATTTTGCACTTGCATCTGCTCTGTGGGTATTTGTTCCTAAGCAGATTCCAGTTCCAAACTGCTTTACAAATTAATCATGATGTATTAGCATCCTCCAAGTGTGATTATAAGAAAAAAACTGATCTCTTGGAAGTTCATGATCATACTGGGGATTGGATTTCTAGTTTGGAAACCACTGATTTAGGTGATTCAAAGAATGTTCTCTCTAGTAGCCGATGCAAAGGAGGCAAGCTCTGAATTAAATTTAGTAACTCTTGTTAGCTTGACATATGTGAGTAGTACTTGAGACATTTCACTTGTCATTGTCTAACAGCTGAATTAAGCAAGCAAGTTTATGAAAATACTGTTTTGTCAGGGCGATATGATACGAGTGGAAAACCTCTGTGTTTGAATACAGTGAAGAAGGGGGGGCAAATTCATCTCAGATGCATAAATGGTGTTACCACTCTGCCATGGGGTTGTAAGACAAGGCAGAAAATCTGCAAGTAAATCTCACCCTTTTGGAGAGGCATACAGAGAGGCTGATGAACCCCAGGCATTATCTCACATAATGTTGAAGTCAATACCTGCCCCCATCAGTCTGTCTGCCATAAGATTTTGGTCGGTGCAACTGATTTGAGGAGGGCCTTCCTACTTTGTGCTTCTCTGATATAAACCACTTGAAGGAAACTTGGGCATTGAAATTTGGACTTGTCTCATGTTTTATTCATAGAAAGAGAGTGACAACGAATACACAGATTGAAACCATGATGAAGAATGAAAGTACTTTCATCTTTCCTCACTCATGACATTTAGAGGTGCATACACAAACGTGTTCATACTTTGAACTGATCTAAAACTTTTGCAGACTATTCTTGTGGCCTGTAGACATCCCAGTGATGAAAATCTTAAATACATCCATAAGAGATAATATAATTCCCTTGTTCAAAGTGATTGATGTAATAAAATCATTATTTTTTTTTTTTTTTTTATTCTCAATATCCTTGGCAAATTCTGAAGCGAGGACAGAAAAACAGAAGGAGTAAAATCAATATAGGCTATCAGATTAATGGGTTGCTCACATCAGATTGCTCAGGGAAGACTGCTGTTTGCTGGTCTTATCAGATGCCAGCCCTTAGGACATATACCCTGACTGCGATGGTCACTCGCACAATTAATGTTGTTCTCCTGGAAATTATGTGCAAAACATTATGACCATTTCTGCAGTTTAGATAAGCAAGGTATCAAATTCACTCAAATATTTCAGCCAACTTCTCCAAAAAAGGCATGTTATTCAAGTCTCATTTCCTTTATCATTATATTACCAAGTTCTTGTCCTTTCCAAAGGAGTTTTGGCAAGCTCCACATAGTGATGCCCAACTGGCCCAGAAGGGACAGGGAGAGCATCTGTTTTCTCCTTTTTGTAAAGAGCAGGACAAGTTCTTTTTGGAAGGCCATATTCTAGATTCCAAGATAAGTAAAACTTTCAACAATATCTAAATAAAACATTTTCTAATTTTATTAGATGTGTATACAGTGAAGTACCAGATACATTAGAGAGAAATTTCTGGTTTATGGAATTTATTTTTAATGTGCCTCATTTTTTCTTTTTTTTTTTTTCCGTCTTGATACCTTCAAGCAACATTACAAATGCCCAAATGTCTTTTTTCTTTCTTTTTTTTTTTTTTAGTAATAGTCTGTTTGCATCTATTCCCATAGAGTTTAAAAAAAAAAAAAAAGAAAATCTCATAGAATTTACATCATTTTCTTTTTGCTCATCATTTCTGAGTGATGCCTATACTTGAATCAAGGTCCAAATTGCAAGATTGTGTGGTCAGGTGCTGTAAAACAAAAGACAACATGATATGAATAGCAAATCTCATTTGTGATTCTGCCATCTCAGAATGTTTACTCGATACGGAAGCATGCGACAAGTTTAGGTGACTGACACCTAATCTCTTTAACAAAAGACTTTGACTAAAATTGAATTCAGGTTTCATAATGATATACTTCTTTGTCTTCTTTACACATTAAGTGTATGTATCTTTACACTATCTAGTAAATTGATGATAGAATTAAATTACTTGGAATTTTGGGTCGTTTCCTAAAGAAATGATCTGTTGGCATTCAAATATCCTTCTTGATGTTTTTACTCCGACTGTCCTTGATTCTGTCAAATCTTTCAAAATACCTTCATGAATAAGATTTTCTGAAGATACCACTTTCATAAATGTGAGATTCTGTGTGGGAAAAGCCTTTCTCACAGTTGCTGAAAAATCACAATGAACCACCTTGTGCAACTGGTGGTGCTATAGCAGATGATTTATGAGGAGCTAAAACATTTCTCATTGTCTGATTGACAGAACAATCAAAAGAATGCTGTTCGGATAGGACAAAAACACTGGAAAAGGCAATTGAAAGATTGCCAGGAATAAGCACTACCAGAGGAGTGAATGAGTAGTGCTAAAGGAACTGGAAATACTTATCCTTATGGGTGTGCAGATCTTTGTCTTCCTTGTCCAGTCCGGGAAGTGGTGCTGCTTGGAATATGCCAGAAATGACAAATCAACCATATGCTCCTATATTCCCCTACTTGAGTTTAAATGTGCAATTTTTGTTTTCTTACTGAAATGGATTGTAAATTTTTTTTGTGTTCCTTTTGTCCCAGCAATGCTACCATGAAGGCAAAACTATCACATCACTTGCTAAGATTCTTAGTAAGATTGTGGAAACATTTATGTTCATACTGATCTCTTAGACTAGAAGCATGGAAAGTGAGATAAGTGGTGCATTATAACTCAAATGTAGTACATAAACAGTACTTGAAGTCTGAGCAAATGCAATAATAGAAGTAGACATTTGTATTTCTGAACTTGCTTATTCCAAGAGGGGATTGCATACAAAATCCTAGGGGTTAGAAGGAATCTCTGGATGTCATCTAGTTCAATCCCCTGCAAAAGCAGTTCCCTACAGTAGGTTGCACAGGTAGGTGTCCAGGTGGGTTTTGAATATCTCCAGAGGAGAGTCTACAACCTCTCTGGGCAGCCTGCTCTAATGCTCTGTCACTCATGTTCATCTGGAACTTCCTGTGTTCCAGTTTGTGCAGTTGCCCATTGTCCTACTGTAGGGCACCAGTGAACAGAGCCTGGCCCCATCCATCTGATTCCTGCCCTTTAGTTACTGATAAGCTTTGATAAGCTTCTTCTCTCCATATTCTGCAGGCTAAAAAGTCTCAGGTCTCCAAGTCTTTCATGGAATGGTTTCTGTATCACAGAATAGCAGACAACGTGGTGCTATACGTATCTGGTACAACTAACCATGTAAAGTGCAGTGCCATAGCAAATAAGCACTGCTAGAAGAAGGAGTTCAGAGATGGAGCCTGAAGCACTGGAGCACAGGATCATGACATATGTCCATCTTAGGATTCTGCTTCTAGAAGAATCACTCTGCCTGTCTGGGGGATTATGAGGAAAGTTCAAGCACACAGAAGCGTTTCACATGCTAAATCCTCTCAGTTTTATATGCTTGGCTGGGAATGGTTCCCCTGAGCCTGTAGTCCTGTTTTTGTATTTATATGCCCCATGGAGACAGTTTCTAGCATTGTTCTACAGGAGACTGTCTATTAGAAACAAGGCATTTTGCACTAAAAATCAGTAGTTCAGTGTTTGTCTTCTGTTTTTAGAACCTCTGATTCTAAATTGCCAAGGAACCATGAAGCACGTCTGTTTGAACAAAACAATCACACGCGTATTTCTTATTTTGCTTACCCAAGCTGCAGCCATTTCTAACGCTCTGGACTATGCTTGTTGCTACTTTTTGCTGTAATGCCTTGTTCTAAACCTTACTTTCAAGAGAAGCAATTTCTTTTATACTGTTTGGAAACCAGTACTTCTAAAGGTATTTGACTATCAACAGTGTTGTTAGGATAACTAAAAAGTGGGATGCACTTTTTAATTCATTCTCAGCAGGATGGATATCATGGGTTGTGAAGATAGACAGCAGATTCAAAATATATTTGGAAAAAATAGCACTTTTCCCACTTCTTTGTCTTCTTTGTAACCCAGGAAGATCTTGACAGGGAGGAAGAAGTATTTGAGCTAAATTCCTTCTTAGCCTGTTAAATGTAAGGTAATTAATATATAACTTTGCTAGAAATAATTTTATACTCCTATCGCAAATTCATTTTAAAAACTAAAATGACATACAGTCAGTTAACTTGAAAATTAAAATGAATGTGACTTGTCACATTGCTTGTGAATTACAGAACAGTTGCTAAATATTTCAGTTGGGACTATTTTTCAGGGAAAATTAGAAAAAAATATAATTTGTTATTGCAACAGTAACAAATAGATT